TTAGTATGGCCACCGTAAGATGAACTACTGCACTAGATGGACCATTGGGCTGGTCTGAAATTACGATTCTTTTTCCTATGCTACTTTACCTTTCCCCCAACTTTTCGACTGTTTTAAGATAGGAATGGTCTCTGCTATTTTACTCCAAATTCCTGGCTGGTGTCAGAGGTCTTGACTACTATTCCTGTAGCCTCTCTTTCTGGAGGGTCCTTTGTGAATACAGCTTCAGAGTCAATTCTCCAGTGCAACACCAGATTGAAATTGTGTGATTCTGGTCAATTTCCATGCTGCCATTCAGAACTGTGGAATTGGAAGGTTTTTGACAATTTCAGTGGGTTGCTTCTTGGGGGAAATCAAGCATCTCTCTCTTCAGATTCAAAAAGATGACACTGCAGAAGGTATCTTCAAATGTTATCTTCACAATAAAAAGGGTGGGAAAGGTAATTGGGTACATGATTCAGGAGCCTATAGTCTGGTCTACACTTAAAAATGAGGTCAACCTAGGTACATCATTCAGGACTGTGAAAAATGAGCGCCGTAGTTAGGTCAACATAAATATGCAGCTAGGTGGATAGAAGAGTTCTTCTGTTGACCTAACTACCGCCTCTGGGAGAGGTGAGTTAACTGCATCAATGGAAAAACCCTTCCGTCAATGTAAGAAGTGTCTTCACTACAGTGGCGCAGCTGTAGCACCATAACTGTGCCGCTGTAGAGGCTGTAGTATAGATAAAATCAATGAATTCTAGGATCCTACACCACTTAGGTACTTTGGCACATTTTACACATTGTTTTAAAATCAGAGCTTAAATTCAGCAGATATTCGTATGAAAAGTAGCAGTGGACAGATTTTGTTAAGCACTGATGTTGAGCATTCATGGTGTATATCAAGACTTACCTTTTAATGTGGGTATGCTCTCTATGAAGGGAAATGTAAAATTTGAACAAATAATTTTAATAATGCATAGCAATAATTACTTCACCAAATGAGGAGATACTTTACAAAAGAGAAGTATGAATTTTCTCACTACTCACTTAGAATTATCTTCCCGTGAACAAGATCTTGTGGTGATAGAGAACAGAGAAATCTGATGAAATACTGTTTTTATTTCTGATTCAGGGTCCTGCTCATTAAAACAGAGATAAAACTACAGCCTAATAAGAGAGGGTGATTTAGAAATCTTAGTTATCACTGCTACCATGGCATGACAGATTTTCGGGAAAAATGCCATCAGTCCCTGAAAATAATTTTTTAATAGCATGTATAGACTTTTGAATGATGTAATTATAATGGCACCAACATAATCAAAGTTGTATTAACATTTGTAGTGTAGTATGCCCCTCTGGCATCCTTCACAATAATCACAAGGCACTTTAATCTTAAAAAGCTAATTAAAAAAAAGAATTGCACATATATTACTTAAATTTGAATTTAAAATAGACTTTAGTTTTTTGACTTGTGACCAGAAGCTGATTTCCATAGGCTTATAACTCTCCTTTAACAGTTTGTAAGGCAATTGTGTAATGCACAATATCTCCGTCTTGAAACGTTTTCTTCCTTATTTCTAACATCTGGTGTTTTGGACTTTGCCTGCCTGTGCTTGAAGAATTAAGTGTGAATTTCCTACATATTTTAACTTTAAAATTTTTTCTAGTTATAATACTTTGCTCTCGAAACAAAGATAAATCTGTTTTTAGAACAAATGGTTTCTTTTTTTATTGTATTTGTATAATACAGAAATGTTCTGCCCTGGTAATATAAAATAGGGAATTAATGAAGAAAGAAAAGCTATAGAACATTAGAAAACCATCTTAGATGCCGCAGAGAAGAGTGTGGAAGATAATCAGTTTGTTTGCTTGATGTTGTCACCAGAGGCAGACTTCTTGATTTGGTGTGATGATCTCGACTAGTCTTTCAATAGTGAGCAGTTCAGGGATAACTTGTATTTTTAATTATGGTAAAATACCAAATTGTGAGGTTACTAACATGTATGTGGGCTAGAAAAGTACAACTTTGCAGAAGGACATGGATTAAGACAGCCCCAGAAGCAGGAAAGAACAGTCAGTGTTATACAGAATGCTAATGATGTTTACCTTAGTAATTTGTGCACAGATTGTATTTCTGTACTTGGACAGACTGGAATTGTTCTGTTCCACTGGCATTGGAAGCCAATGATTGCAAATCCCAAAATGAAATCTTTTAGTTTTTCCTGTTCCTAGATCACGTACTCTCATTCATAACTTTGCTATGGTTTCCTATCTCACACAAAAACAACAAGGAGTCTGGTGGCACCTTAAAGACTAACAGATTTATGTGGGCATAAGCTTTCGTGGGTAAAAACCTCACTTCTTCGGATGCATGAAGTGAGGTTTTTACCCACGAAAGCTTATGCCCAAATAAATCTGTTAGTCTTTAAGGTGCCACCAGACTCCTTGTTGTTTTTGTAGATACAGACTAACACGGCTACCTCCTGATACTATCTCACACAGGAGTGACCATCATGTGACTTTTATGTACTTAAGGAAATAAGACCGATTTTATGGCAGCTGGAAAAACAAAGAAATGTCATAGGTCCATAATCTGTCATAGCTCTTGGTCTCTATTGTACCATCAGTTCTTCCAGCCACCGTGTGACGGATTTTGCTGCACGGCAGGAAAGTAGTCAAAGTAGTTTTATTTAGGCATATTTTCTATATATTGTGATAAGGCTTTCTACTATTATCCAGATATTATCTTCTTGTTAAATAGGGTTTTGCCTGATTTTTTTTTAAAATTTATTTAGACTGAATATACATCAGCTCTTTCTTCTTCCTCTTTTCCCAAGAAAGTGTGGCAGAGGACTGTATCTAGACATACTATACATGCATTATATTTTCCAGAAGTTTGAAGTATGGTTGACTCCAGCCAGTTTGTGTTTACTGTTTCTTTTTCCAGGACTGAGTTAATCAGATCTGCCTGTTCTATTCTTCTTAAGAAATGCATGAACAGTTACAAGAGAGGGCCACTCGAAATCTACTGGAAATAATTCTGGGCATAACTTCTGGATTACTTTGGGCAAATTAATTGGGGAAAAACACACATGAAAATCCTAATTTTAGTTTATTTGAATAGTGTTTTATAAAATGGACTTTTTCACACCTAATCTCCTCTGTAGATCTTCTGACTCCCCAGGCATGTTATGTTCTCTTCCCCTTTCTGCCAGACTGATACATTGAAGACCAGATCATTGCAATATTTGCTAGAACATTCATTTAGTTGTATCTGTAAAAGCTTGAAACCTTATTCCTGTGAAATGTCTTTCCCACGGAGACTTAGGAAGAAAACATTGCACATCCAGAAGGTTATCTTCACAACCATTTCTTTAAAAAAAAAAAAAACAACAACAACCCTCAAATTTTGCAAAAAAGTGACTACCCCTTATCCCATGTTATAAATTCCCTAAATCTGGCTTATAGTGAGAAATTTCTGCAGAGTGTATTTTTTTCCATTGACGATGAACATGACCTAGACTATCAACTTCCCCCCACAAATCTTTCTATTGACAATCTTCCATCTGTGACAGACTGTAACCATATTGCTAGGCTATCTCTGTCATTTGAGGTTGCGTAACCTGTTTCTCAATGTTTGTACAGTGCTTTTAAGATGCAAGGCACTATGTAAGTGTGAAGTAGTAGTGTTATCCTACTGAAGAGAGCAAAGGCTTAGCATCTGTGATATCTTCCATGAGTTTGCTACATATCTGTCCATTTTGCTAGGATGCAATGCTGTTGTTGGACTACGGCAAACACAGAGCCATTCTATTAATGCAGTCTATACTCTTTTGGAGAAGAGAGTGGGACAAGGAGAACGTACAGTCTATGAACAACCTGCAGCTAGTTCTTTTAGTTAATGGGAATTAAAGACACCTTGAACATGTTTGTTATAGAGCCGTGGTGATGACTCCAAGAAGTGGGGTTGTAACCAGGATTCATGAAATACCTGGAGTGAAAATCCGGGCCCCATTGAAACCCAATGGCAAAACTTCCATTGACCACAATGGGGCCAAGATCTCCCTTCCTATTTTTTGGTTCCCTCTTCCACAGCTATCTTGGGAAACTGGTTTGTTTTGGCCTAAAAATCACGAGATTTAATTTTCTAAAAAACTTGAAGAAAATTGTGAAATTGTCTATGAGTAGTGGATCATTTACAAGATAAATAGCTTAATGTGATATTTTGGGGTCCTTCTGTTCCGGGGGGGGCGGGAAGGAAACAATTTTAGTCATGTCTGTTAACTTTTATGACGCTCAGCTCAACACTAAGGCCGCCCAACTCCACATTTAAATTGTTGAGCAAGTCAGTGGCTGAAAAGTACAATTCTTTCATAATAAAACTGGTTGGCTTAGGTAGGCTTAGTTATCTAATTCTCCTGTTATTTCAGAATGTGTTTATTAATGAAATCTGCATTTATTCATATCTAAAACTATGATTTTGACAGACTCCTTAGATAAGACAAAGTTTTTTCATCTAAAGCTTTGAAACATTGATTAAATGTATGGACACTGTTTGAATCTGATTTGCACATCTAGAAGTTTTCTTCTGATGCAGTGCAACTGTGTCTGGTGTAACTTGGCTTAATTAGTACTGCTCAGTGATTTGGGACTGGTATCAAAGACTCTTATATTAGCAAAAACAGTGAGTTAAAGCTAAAGCTGTGACCTCCTCTCCATTCATGTTGGACCAAAGTATAAGCTGCACCAAAAGGCATTGTTTAACTTCATCTTTCTCTTTTATGCTGCAAATCAATTTGCTTTAATTTAGTTCTGATATTAATATCCTTCTCTGATTAACCATTATATTTTTATTATAATGGATTGGGAGAATTCAACAGAAATACATAGTAGAGCTACATGGAATATTCACTACTTCAGAAAGTGTGTCTCTAATAGAAATATTTAAATACAAAGCTATTAATCTTTTTACTTAATGTGGGGCTCTTCTTATAATTGTGAAAATCTGAGTACCATCAAGGACTACTAAAATATAAAAGATACATAGAATTTATACATTCCTGTCTAGTCCTGCCCTGATGTAACTCTGCAATTTCCTTTATTACATAGACTACACATTAAATGCTTTCCCTTTAATATTAGAGCTATGCACATTACAATAGGTGTCACTGTGCTGCTGGGTCCAATCGTTATCAGTGACTTCAGCTATTGGCTCAGAACACTGGCTGTCTGACTCCATCTGCAGGGCTGTAATACCTACTCTGTTCAAATCCATTCAACACACAAGTTCAGCCAGCTGAACAGCCTAGCAGTGCTACGGCACATCTTGCTAGCCTAATTCAAAAAGCCAGTGCGATAGCTAGATGCATACTCTCTTTGCACAGTGTAGCACTTGGAGGTGATTCAGTTTCAGGAAATTTGGAAAAGAGCTTGCAAGTAATTAAAACTGGGAGTCATGATGGAGATGTATTTAACAAGTCAAATACTGGATCAAACTTAAAGCCAGTTTCTTACTCGGTACACTGAAAAGGTCACCTTGTCTTGCTGGAAAAGAAGCAAAATCTCAGCTTTGCTGCTTTTTATTTAACAGCTTGGCTCCCACTTAAATTTTCTTCATGTTCTTACCTAGTTAGGCTATCTAGCTATACAAACAAGGATACTCATGGTAGATGACAAGGGAAAGAACATGAAATGTCTCACCTTCTTCTTGATGCTTCCAGAGACAGTCAAGAACAGGTCCAAGAAAAGCTCTAAGAAAGGAAACAGTAGCAGCAGCAGCAGCAGCAAGTTGCCTCCAGTTTGCTATGAAATCATTACCTTGAAGACCAAAAAGAAGAAGAAGATGGCTGCTGATATTTTTCCCAGAAAGAAACCAGCCAACACTAATACAACTGCTGTCCAGCAATACCACCAACAAAACCTCAACAACAACAACACTATCCCTGCCCCCAATTGGCAAGGGCTTTATCCCACCATCCGAGAGAGGTAAGTTCAAGAGAATTTATTTTTGCTGTTTAAATGAAGTGTTGAATTGTAGCAAAAACAGGTTTGCCATGTTAAATTTAGTTTCTCATTTATACACATTGAATAAAACATGCTACTCCGTTTCCCCAAGCAAGTATTTGGTAATGGAAAATTTTTAGTATCTCTTTCCGGACAGTGCAGCTGTTTTCCTGAAGTAGTACAAATGTTGTTGTAAGCTGCAGTACTTTAAACTGATAGGTATTTGCATGCAGACTTACATGTTTGTTGTTTTAGTAATACATGTTCTTGATTTTAATTTTCACTTTTTGAAAAGTTTTCACAAAGTTTTTCTTGGATCTGTTTTCCTTAGTATATTTGTGTGTGATCATGTGCAAAGTGGCCAGAAATTGTGTGACCTGTTTTTTTGTTTGTTCTTTTGTTCTTTAGCTGGTTTGTTACTGAAATGCTACTTTAAGTTGTTAAAAAGTTTAATCTCATGGGTCTGGGGTGGGAATCGGATGCCAGATTACATAAATTAACACATTGCCTCTGTCTGTAGAAATGCAGTGATGTTCAACAATGACTTGATGGCAGATGTTCATTTTGTGGTTGGGCCACCAGGTGGGACCCAGCGGTTGCCAGGACACAAAGTAAGCAACAGCTGCATTATCAGTTCAGATGTGGGAATAGCAAGAGTAACTTCAACTGTAATATCGTGACTTACTGTGGGAGACTCCAATTCTTTGTGACAGACATAAATTTTGAAATGGCTTTGTCCAGTGAAATACTTTACTTTTCTTTGTATTTCCCATTAAACATTGTGTTGTGATAAAAGAAGCTTTATGTAAAGTTGGGAAGACTGTTTTTTGTCCCTTTTTATGGTTGGTGTTGTGAAGATTTTCTAGAAATTCACTTGTTTCTTTGAAGATAAAACACATAATTGTACGAGGTAAATGGTAGGAAAACGTGTAATTTTGTTAGTAAGTTTGCCTTCATTCTCACACAATAGTATCTAATTTCTATGCCCATGACGCTAGTATACTCATAGTGGTAGTGGCTGTACCTCATTGTTTTTATTGGCAATGCCTTCAGTTTATAGCATGAAATAAGATTTCCCTTTCTCAACAGTACGTCTTAGCTGTTGGGAGCTCTGTATTCCATGCAATGTTTTACGGAGAGCTTGCCGAGGACAAAGATGAAATTCGTATACCAGATGTTGAGCCTGCTGCTTTTCTCGCCATGCTGAAGTAAGCATCATTCTTCTGGAAATGTATTTGTTTATGCTGTATATGCACAGCAATACTGTCACAGTTCAAATATTGGATATCCGTCTAAACAGAGGCATACAACTAGAAATGAAGTAATTGTTCAGAAATATGCCTTCCGCTATATAGTAATTGTTTAAAACTTATTTTCACTGAACTTCTCTCTCACCCTCTATTTCTAGACACGGAAACGTTAGGCAAATGTAGGCAGTTGTGATAAATAATGACTGACAGGAGATCTTTGAGCACATTGTAATGCCTCTTGATTTGATTTGTCACTACACTTGCTACACAAAAGAAGGAAGTTACTAAAAAGAATTGTCAGCGCTAACAAAAAACCTGTTTTACTTTGAAAGTATAGTGAAAAGTAAAAAAATTGGAATTTCTGGGTTCATACACTGACATTGTGCTCTAGCTCTTTTGTATGCTGACTGTACAGAGTTCTTGTCTGTTCAAAACACCCCCGAGTTACTGAATGCAGCCACTGAAAAGTAAAACCTTTCTTTATTTTATTTAGTATTGGGCATTTGGAAAGTATTAAAAATAAAAGGGCTGTTTAAATGAACTTATTCCCCTCCCTGTATATCTGGTTTCTTTCTGCCAACCTGATTCGGAACTAGGTTGCTTTTTCGCTGGATGAAGAGGTTATAATGAAATACTAATTGTTCCCCTGCTGAATTATCCTTGGACTGTGGACTATAAACTTTGATTTTCAAATGGAAATTATATCATGCAACCTCTATAATTTGGAGTTTTTTCCTCTGGTATTTAACACTGTCATTGGTTACTTCTGGACCCGGTTGTTTCTCATTTTAATTGAGATCAATATCCAGACTCTTTTAATATGCTACTGGTTTTGTTGCATGCAATAGTGAAATTGCTAGTTAACAACATTATAAATATATTTCATGGGTTGCCTTGATTAGCTTGTGATGGCAAACAATTACTTTGTTACATTTCAATGGCATGGTAGATAGAGTGTTCAAAGTTGCATGCAGCTGCAGAGTTTTCAGTTTGTCAGCAGGAACCTCAGAAATATTTGGGATGCATGTTGACAGATGCCTTTCCATGAAAATCAAAGGTCACTCAGCAATTTTAATATGGAATTGAGACAAAGTTATGATATGCCTCCACATGTGAATAGATACATTACAGATCTTCATTTTGCACATTGCTATTTAAAACATGTTTTTCATACAGCAAATACTTTGACTTCACAGAGTGAGATGTAGTTAGACTTTCTCTCTGCAAGGGGCGAATATAAGGTACTTTAATTTTTCTTTTCTATTGGAACACCAACTCTTTCTACATAATTTTAGTACTGCTACATTAAACTTGCCATTTAAAGAACAAATGGATTTTGAAATCTGCTTGAAGACATTTGTACAATGGGGCAAACCTGAAAAACGAGAACTTTAATACCAAAATCCAGTGCCTGACGAATTCTCTTGACAATAGTAAATTAGGAAACTTTATCTGAAAAGTGGGGGGACTCAGCCATCAACTTCTTCAGAATCCAAGCTTTCATTTAAAAAAAAAAAATCTAGTTATTTTGGTTGTGCAGATTACCTTCCAAATGAGAACTTGATACAGTGCTATTTCCCTGAATCTGCAGTGCTCTAGTATCTCTACTGATGTTCAAAACATTCCCAAGAAGCAGCATGAGACTGAAGGCCCAAGAGAGTAGAAGAGAATTTGCACCCATCCCCGCAAAGCAGGAATGAGAGGAGCATTTAGTTGAACCCCCTTTTCGCCAGGTCCCCTTTTCAACAATCAAGAGGAATACAGTGTAATCTTTTGTAAGAAAAGAAAGAGTTGGAAATGCTCATCTTCTTCTAAGCCATGAACTCTTATAATGTGATATACACGAATCTGTATTTGGGTATTAGTTGTTAATAGTGTTTAGTTGGTTAATTTTGTAGTGGACACATGGAAGACAAACACCAGTAAACATATTATTAGATGCAAAATCTTCAGTAGTATCCGTTATTGGCATGTAGTAATTATGCCCCCCGCACAATTGGTTAGCTGTTCACTATAGCTTTACAAATACAAAATAGTTACATGTTGCTAAATGCATATCCTAGTTGGCACACTCAGTTAGTGTCTTTAACCCTGAAGACCAGGATTCAAATAATAAATTAAAATTAGACTCATGGTCTCATTCTAATCCCAGCCTGTGCGCATCACACAGTTTGTACAGCTGTAACATACTTTGCTGAGGAATAGACTAGGACTGAAATATCAGCAGTTGGAGATCAGGATAGAGATGCATTGACAGAATGAGAAATGTGCAATGTTACAGACAGCCTATCTGTGCTATGGCTGCTTTAAACCAGTGATATTACTTCTCCACTTCCATGAATATTAAACTCGCAGTTTTTGTACTGTTTAAATTTAAAACAGATGCCGCCCTACTTTTTTGTATGAACAAGCAAAGAGGGAGAAAAAGTTGGAGGTTGAGGAGGAGAATTATAAAATGGAACAAATTTGGAGAGATGATGGTAGAAAAAACAAGAAAATATGTAGACCCTTAGGGACCCAAACCTGCAATTTATGCTTGCATGAGTAATTCTTACTCCTGCAAGTAGTCTTTAGTTTTTGACTTCAAGAACTAAAGATTCAGTTCTATATTAATATTTTCCTTCATTACTTGCTACGTTTCATTGCATCAGAGTTTATATACTCTAAACAGAATTTTTCAAGTGTTACTTAGAGTAGCATTTTTAGAGGCACATGACTGTGTAAAATATATCTCATTTTATTTGACCCCAGTTTCTCTAGAACTCATAATTGGTGTTATTCTCTGCCCCATTACATGTGGTACATTACTAGTTTTCCATCATTAACTGGAAATCTGCCCAAGCAGGTTGGAGTCTGCCATATCCTAATTCATGAAAACCAAACAACGAAACAAGATTTATACATATTTACAGTAAAAACAAAAATAGCCATAATGAGATATGGGTTGATACTAATCCAGTAAATTTCATTTTATCATTTATTCTCCTAGGCCTTGTATATCCTGTGAAAATGCATCATTTTAGAAAACCAGTTAACTTAACACATTTTCATTAGCATGAAATGCAATTTTGCCTTTAGTGGCTCAGCCGCAACCAGCAAGCATATTTTTAAACATAACTCCCTTGTTCACACTAAAGGCAAATTTATGTTTTAACATTGTTTCTAACAGAATGCATTTGCCCAGAATAGATTGGACCTAATGTGTGAGATATTAAAAACAAGGTGCCTAATTCATTATTTCCCCAACAGTAGTGGACCTCAGGAATTTAATCACGTAAACAGAATTTAGCTGAATCTCTTCTGTTTTGACATGGCAGTGGGTCTTAACAAGTTTTCTTCCCTAGGAAAGTGAGAGAATACATTTTTTCTGGGGAAGCTAGCATGTTGTAGCATCAATAAACATATGAAATCCTTCCCTTTACAATCTGAGGTTAGTTAGGCCTGGTCCACACTAACCCCCCACTTCGAACTAAGATACGCAACTTCAGCTACGTGAATAACGTAGCTGAAGTCGAAGTACCTTAGTTCGAACTTACCGCGGGTCCAGACGCGGCAGGCAGGCTCCCCCATCGACTCCGCGTACTCCTCTTGCGGAGCAGGAGTACCGGCGTCGACGGCGAGCACTTCCGGGATTGATCCGGGATCGATTTATCGCGTCTAGACAAGACGAGATAAATCGATCCCAGAAGATCGATTGCTTACCGCCGGACCCGGAGGTAAGTATAGACGTACCCACAGTCTAAGAGGATTCATCAATTGATTGCAAATCTTAGAGCCTATGGCATGATGATGCACGGTATTTGATGTATTTTGACAGTGTTACACTTCTGAGAGCCTAGATTTTAAACCAGTTTGTCTTGGCACCCATGTCTGATGTGAAGTGTTATTGCTGAAAAACTCACTTTTCTTTTCCTTTGCACATGTGTCTGAATAAAGGTCACCATATAGTTCACCAGAAAAGGAAGTTCAATGTATGTCCACTTGAAGTTAATGTCCTAGACAGTATTAACTGTTGTTTTAGCCATATAAACCAACCCTTCTTCAAGAACCTTGATTGACATGAACCCTTTTTGGGGGTGAAAAAAATCTCATTAATCAAGTCATTTATTTGGAATTTTTTCACCCAAGTTTGCTAGGATATGGATACATTAGAGTCACTACCATATTGCAATTGCTGATTGACTGTTTAGAGTGCATTCTCTTCCTCATTATTGAAAGCAACTGTTATTGAACTTGGAAGAAAATGGGAATGAAGGGGTAGCACTTCATAGTTGTATCAGTTCCTTTGTGTAGCATGTGACCCAAATGAAAGGCCCAATTCATCGTTGGCGTAAGCCCATCGACTTCGATGAGCTTAACCCATGGATGAATTTGGCCTGTCGTTTCTTTATCGTGTAATTTGAAGCAGGATTTGATTTTTCCAGAAAGTATTTCTTAGTTTTAATACTGCACTGCACCATTCGAGTGTTCTGTGCTTCGTGTTTTCAGGTGTTATTGACAGTCAATGTCTTTTTGCTAAAAAGCAGTGTTACATGTGCGTATTTTATTTCAGATACATCTATTGTGATGAAATTGACTTAGCTGCTGATACCGTGCTGGCCACTCTTTATGCTGCCAAGAAGTACATTGTTCCTCATCTTGCCCGAGCATGTGTCAACTTCCTAGAGACGAGCCTAAGTGCAAAGAATGCCTGTGTGCTGCTCTCCCAGAGCTGCTTATTTGAAGAACCTGACCTGACCCAGCGCTGCTGGGAAGTGATTGATGCCCAAGCAGAGCTGGCTTTGAAATCTGAGGGGTTCTGTGATATTGATTTTCAGACGCTTGAAAGCATCCTCCGAAGGGAGACGCTGAATGCCAAAGAAATTGTTGTTTTCGAAGCTGCGCTTAACTGGGCTGAAGTTGAGTGTCAACGGCAAGATTTACCTGTTAGCATAGAAAATAAACGCAAGGTCCTAGGGAAAGCTCTCTACCTGATTCGCATCCCTACCATGGCACTCGACGACTTTGCAAATGGTGCTGCTCAGTCCGGGGTGCTGACTCTCAATGAAACCAATGATATCTTCCTTTGGTATACAGCTGCCAAAAAGCCAGAATTAGAGTTCGTGAGCAATGCCAGAAAAGGCCTTGTCCCCCAGCGTTGCCACCGCTTCCAGTCTTGCGCCTACCGCAGCAACCAGTGGCGTTACAGGGGTAGGTGTGACAGCATCCAGTTTGCTGTTGATAAGAGAGTTTTCATTGCCGGCTTTGGGCTATATGGTTCTAGCTGTGGATCAGCAGAATATAGTGCAAAGATCGAACTTAAACGCCAAGGTGTTATCCTAGGCCAGAATTTGAGCAAGTATTTCTCAGATGGATCCAGCAACACTTTCCCAGTGTGGTTTGAGTATCCAGTGCAGATTGAGCCTGATACCTTTTATACCGCTAGTGTGATTCTGGATGGCAATGAACTAAGCTATTTTGGACAAGAAGGAATGACTGAAGTTCAGTGTGGGAAGGTAACTGTTCAATTCCAGTGCTCTTCAGACAGTACTAATGGCACTGGAGTGCAGGGAGGGCAGATTCCAGAACTCATATTCTACGCCTGAGCAAAAATGTTTCCAGAGGAAGAGTTTGGCCTGAAGTACACATCTGGTTCAGACCTACTGATGCTTAGCTTGTTATCTGCAGCTGTGATCAGTACAGAGAATATGTAAGTAAAAGCTGTGGATAGTTACTGCTTGCTGGACTTGTAGCCTCTTTGGTGATGAAATTTAAATGTAACATTCAACTTTAACTGGAAGCTCTTAAGAGCAAGGAAGTTTCTAAAGCTTTGTTTGAGTCAGATATACCTACGCCCATGACTCCCAGCCTGTCTTGTTGGCGTGCCCCTACTTGCAATGGATCAGCAGATGGATGCCCTCCCTCATATCTCCAATGGATTGTGCCCCCCAATACACTGGATGCTGCCTCTTTTGGTCCATTTTCTCTTTCTGTCTCAGTTCTTTTTTCCTTCTTGTCTTTTTCTCTCTGCTTCTCATTATTTTTTGCTCTTGTTTTTTGCTCCCCAACTCTCCAGAGGGCTACATGCTGCTCAGAGTCAGGGAAGGGACTCCACAAGGCTGGGCTGCTTTAGTTCTTACAGCTGAGCCAAGTGTTATGGGGCAGATAAGAGAAGCTTGTGTGTGAACGCGCAGCCCCATAGAGGCAAGCCAGTCCCGTATGTGGCCCGCTGTATTGGGGATGGCTGCAAGAGAAGAGAGGGAGGGTTGGCAGGCAACATTCAAGGAGCCGCACACTGCTTTATACACAGATGCAGGATCATACTTGCAACCAGGATGAACTGGGCTCATGCGGCTTTTCCCACCAGCACCCTCTTGAGCTCCTCTGACTCATTCCCTTAAGACTGGGAAATACTTGTGTACACACAAACTGTGTAGGTGGCTTCGAAGCATTTGCCCATTTAACCAAATGTTGCAATAGTTATACGGAGATGCTTTTAAAATTGCTCTCATTTGGCCCACTACTAAATAGCTGGGTGATGATATCTAGCATGAGACAAAGGATAGGTTCATTTCTTTTTCTTTTTCCAAAATAGTCCTAGAACATTTGGAGGGGGATTTTTCCCCCCCTGTAAAAATGAAAATAAACATCACTGCACAGTAACATGTACTAATCCTGAGTTACATATTCCTTCTCTGTAATGTGAGCTTTATTATATTATTGCCACACACTCTGACTCAGCAGATAATTAAATAGATGATAGCAAGAAAATTCCCAAGAGTGGACTATGTCTGGTGGTGAGCACCAAATGTAATACAGTGAGGGGAAACGTATGTCTAATCTCTTGCAATTAGTTTTAATTTAAATGTGAAATGGAGGATTGTGTGGTCCAAAATTTTTTTTTTTCCCCCCTGAATTACTTTTCAAGCTTTCTGTAGTCCTGTCTGTATTTTTGGCAGGAACGGACTACAGACTCATTGCTGTTTAAGAGGGAAGGAAATCAGTATAACTAAAAGATCCAAGTACCATTTAAACTTAATAAAATAAAGTCCACACTTTGGAAAAGAAACTCCTTAATCACTAGATTGTGAAAATTACTTACAAAGAGGACACTACCGAGGTAATTTGTCTCACCTTTATAATATCTCTGAAGTGGTTATATTTGCTTTCCATATTATAAGCTAAAATAGAGGACCAAATGATTCTTTGGCCAGGCTAAAGACTAATGTCTGTGCTACACTAAATATAATCATCAGTTTTACAATGGAACCACTTTTCCCATATGGTTACTTATCAGTTAATATTATTACTCCACCTACTCCTTGACTGCTGGAATCTTGGCCTCTGGCCATCTCAAAGTGCCGGTATGTTTCTGCAGTGTCCAAAACATGATCTGGAGTAATGACAAGTGGATTGGAGTAGGCATCAAAAACTCAAAGGCCAAAGCCAGTCTCTTCCCTGTCCCGTGGATGATGAAAAGAAGAGCGAGGGGAAGACTGTTCTGCAAGTACCATGTTCTTTATTCACTGTAATGGTTACAATTTTACATATGTGAGCAAATACATTCTTTCTGAAGTATAAATACTCTCCGAATATATAGAAAATGCTTTTTATAACAGATGTACCTAAACTAGACAGTTAGTGAGATCTGGACAGAATGTTCCCTGGAAAACTGACGATACTTTTTTTTTTTTAAAAGCTCCAGTTAATTATATTTAGATCTCTCAGCAACCAAAAATATACACGCAGTATAATTTTATGGATTGGGGAAATATTTATTGAAGAGACAACGAAGGAATGTAAGATTGTCATGGAATAATAGTCAACTACTCGTAGACATTATCTGAGCAGTAGTGAATTTATTTAAAATAAACATTAAAGCAAAGACTGGCCAAGTTACTGTATATGAAATGGTTGACGTAGATATAATGGCTGTGTCTGAATGATGCTTTTATGGGACAGAGTGACAGAATGCAGCTATTTAACAATGTTACAGCAAGTAACTGATTCGTTTAGAACAGACTTATGTGCCTCACAGTGGGACAAAAAGTGTACTCTACTAATATGGATAAGCCAGTCTCTGACTGGCTCTAGTTTTTTGGTGTTTTTCTTTTTAATTTATCTACAAATAAAGGCTTAGCATCTATTAAACTGACTGGCTGGAACAGATAGTTATGGGATCAAATTAATGTATAGCTGTGATATGTAGAAAATTAGCTTTTTTTTTTTTTACTTGTTATCCCTTGAATATTTTTGACAAAGTAGAATGAAAGCTCTGCTTCTTGCTTAATTCCTCTGAATCTGTTCCAGGTATAAATTAGACTTGTTGCTTATGGTCAAAATATTTAAGCTTGGATCAATAAACTTAGACACCTAAATAAGTGGCTTGATTTTGAGAGGTGCTCGACACCAGCAAGCCCATTGCAGTAAATAGAATCTGCTGTTGCCAAATACTTTTGCACATCAGGCCACTTAATTAGGTGCCTAAATATGGATCTAGATCTGGTCAACTAACTTTAGGCATCCAAGTTTGAAAATGTTAATCTATATTTTGAAAGCACCCAATATATCATGCTGGAACGTAAACACAACTTCAGCAAAAAGAACATTATGTAGATGGTATTTTATGGTGGTCTTTACTACTTGTATATTGATTTTGCTGGTAGGGGGAACTAAGACAGGGCATTGTAATGTAATATGCTTTAAGCATATCTGAAATAGTATTTAAATGTTCTAATTTCTACATACTTATTGCACTGAACTGTTTTTTAAATTGTTGTGATAAAGTCAGCTAATTTCAGGTCACAGCACCCAGTTATGCTTGACCTTAAGCTTACAGCATTATTTATGAAGGACAGATATATAAATATGAAGTACCTCATGTTGAATGTTATTGTACTGTATCTTTAATGTAACAGTGCAGATCTTGTTAGACACATGAATGTGTATAATCACATTAAACATATAAATAAAACTGGTTCTTATACAGTTGTTTCCTGTGGTACTTTTGAAGCATCCGTGGAATAAATAGTGAAATCCTTACTTTGGCTATTATTTTTAGTGTTTTCCATTGTTCTAGATAATTGTGCGGGAGTATTTGTTAAGCTTGGGTATTCTGGGATCTTTTGAACCCAAAAGAAGTAAAAGTCTGAGGCAAAACCAAGGAAGAACAATGAATATGTTAATCAGTTACATTGTTAAGACTGACGATTAAGCTAATGAGATGGAGTGAATGGATTCATTTATATGCTTTATAAAATTTCTTGTCTACTAGCATTTTAATATTTTCTATTAATATTACCAAGCTGGGGGGAGGGTGATATGTCATTCTGTTTATTCTGAAAGACAGCGGGTACTGAAAGCGACCATAGCTGTCAGTCCTTAAGATTCTGGAACAGGGTACACTGATAGAATTCAGAAAGATTTATGGTGCAGGCTTAGTGGAAAGAGGTTGTTCCCTGTTGGAAATTTGAGTCTTCTCATTCAACCATTTCTTTCCCAACAGAGTTGAATATCGGTTCATCATATTTCTTCACAGAAAATCATCAAAGAAGATGAATTTACCCTTCCTTGATCCATTCTGAGGATTTTGGATCCAATAACAAACCAGCTAAAGGGAGGGTTAGGAAAGGGACATTCAGAGAGAACTGGAGAAGTCCACCCTCATGGAAAAGAAAGAATTCTTAACTTGATCCTAAAACGCATTCTGAACATTCCAAGTAGTGTCACTTGTGATGGGTTTTCTAAAATCGTTTACTACTGTTAATCCACATACCATATGATGTGCACAATGAGATGCAAAACCATAAAAAACTGTCTGTCTATGCCTTGTTCTATGCTAACTGCATCAGTACTTAACACAGATACCTTATGATATGTGTCTCTATCAACTACAAAAAGTATAAATTAGTGTCAGTCCAGTTTTAACTGGACAAACTGACTGCATCAGAAAACCAGCACCTTCAGCCTCTCTATTGAGACTCGGCATTGAATGAGTGTGGAGAATAAGCTATCCTCTCGCCCAGAGAAGTGTTCTCTCCTTGCATTGTTTCTGCCTAAGATGGACCTGCTTTTCCCAAGACTTCCCCCTATAAATACATAATGTGAAATCCCAATCAATGGGAGTTTTGCCTCTTCTTCAATGAGGTCAGGATTTCACCCACAGTGTTCAGTTAACATCAATACTCCCAGAACACACCATTGCTGAGGGAATAGAAAATTTTAAAATTCACACTGTACACTGATTATCTAGAAGTCCATCAAAATATCATAGCTTCTAAGGCCAAAAGGGACCACTGTGATCATCTAGTCTGACTCCCTGTATAACGCAGGACATAGGATAGAAACCCCATAATAAATCTTAAACTAACCCTCATGGGCATATGGCAAACAATTCAAATATGAACATGAAATAATTTATCCTAAACCACAGTGATATTTGCATATGTCTTTATGTACATTTTTACAAGCGTACTTCAAATTCATAGCACACAAGGTATAGCAGGGGTATAGTAATTTTCACATTAGAAGATGTTTGAATTGCAAAGGTTCATATGCTCAAAAGAGCTGTTCAAAGTGAAGGAAAAACAGAAAGGCTTTAGCTACTTTGCTCCAAGGTTCAGTCCTTTTAAAAGAATCTCTTAAAATCTGTTTAATTTGTCAACAGTGTCAGGAATGCATTTATATTAATCCTTTAACAACAGTATTTTAACATTCACTTTTTAATTGTTTGCTAGAGACAACAATAGTGTAGTTGGCTGTCGGGAGATCCTATGTTTTGCTGCGGTGGAGTTTTCTAGATCTAACTTTAAAGTTTCATAGCTACTTCAGCTACCACTCTGGGAGAGTCAGCAGTTCAAGAAGAGCTTTTAGACTAAACAAGCTAGAACTTGGAAGAGGGGGATGAGGTCAGCAGCAATGCCACAGGGAAATGCTGTGGACAAGGTATTTTGTCTCCTTAGTGGGTGGACACACCTTACTCTGTTGTCTTATCCACCATCTGTTGGGGGGAGGCAGGGGCTTCCTGGATCCTCCTCCACCGCCCCGGTCCCATTGTCCATTGTTTACCCTCTCCCCCAGTTGGCAGCACTTGGGGAACTCTGAGGCAAACACAGAGCAAAGGATTGGCTTCTCCTCCCCGGCAAGAGAGGAGAATCTGGAAAGATGGCCAGTCTCTCAGGCAGTCCCTGGGGATTTAGCCCTATGGGCTTAGTCTGTCAGAGTCTCTGGTCCTTTGTGGGGTTTGCCTTCTGTCCCTCCTCCTGGGGCATACTATTTTGCCACCAGTCAGGGCAGTTTTGGGAGCCTGTGGCTGTCTCCTCCTTGGCTGGACTGCCTCTATTACAAGCAGTTTCTGAGTGGGGCAGCCTTCTTCCTGTTCCCTGCCCCTTTCTGTGGTAAGTTTCTTCTTTTAAGCTCCTCCCGCTCCAGGCTGAACAAGCCTTGCAGGTGCACCTCTTTAGGGCTGAACAGGCCAGAAAAGCTCCTTAGTCTCCTCCATACCAGTGTGAGGGCGTCTCCCTTCACACCATGCCACGGTTAATTTCAGCAGCAGGCTGAAAGTCACATATATGGTACAGCCGCAGTACAGGGGGAGTGTAAAGAGACTTGA